CCCAGAACACCTGCCACCCATAGGTTTGCTCCAAGACAGTGTGTGACCAATCTTGTATTATTTGGAATGAGGGAGACAGCTTCCTCTCCTTCCACCCACAAGGCTCCCCCCTCAATTCTGGTCTGGTCCCCAATGCCCAAGAAGGCCAACCTACTGGACCTTGCTGCTGAGCCACAGCACCTGAGTTTTCCAGACACCCCAGCTCAGCACCTGGCACAGACTGGATAAGGTCACTCTCTACTATAACCCCTCCAGTGGCTCACCATTGCTCAGACTAAGCCTGACTCTACCCTGCCAGGCTCTGATCCCTCCAGTAGCCAGCCTCAGCACCTGAGCACCTGCTGTTTCCTGAGTGTGAAATGCTCTCAAGGGGCCCGCAGCTTCCTCTTTATTTCTCCCCCCCCACCCCCCATCTCTTGCTTTTGGCTGAACCAGTCCTTTCTCTCTCCCAGGCCTCATCCCACAGCTTAGATGACCCAAAGCTTTCCTCTCACAAGCTGCTCCCTCGGATGGGAAGGGCTCAGAGGGATGAAGGAAGGGTCCCACTCTCTTCCTGTGCCTAGATGGGCAAGGCAGGACTTCTCTCCCAAGTGACTTTTCTGAGGCAGGATCTTGGGGGGCAGTGGAGGAGAGAAATGCTTTTGAGCAACTCCCTCAGGTGCTGAAGGAACAAGGGTGGCTGATGGATGTGACCATGGCGCCACCTTCTGGCCAGAGGCCAAACTGCAGTCTGTGTCAGGGCATTTGGAGCTGGGGCCCTGATCTGGCAGCAGGCCTGGGCTGGAAGAGCTGGCCCTGTCAGAACAATTGTGATTCCTTCTCGAAGACTGGCTGGGACATTGCTGCTTCTGAGCAGGCAGCATGCTGCTTTCCCCACGCACATCATTCCTATCATCCGAGTAAGCCCACCCCTCTAGCACAGGGCCTCCTCCATGAGGGCAGGCCCCATGACTGATGGGCTCAGCACCAGGCACAAGAGTAGAGGCCCAAATAATATTTAACAGACAATAAGAAAGAGTCGGTGTCGCAGGGTCTAATGTGAACTGGAAAGAGGGGAAGGAGAGCCAACAAAGGGACACTGGTGAAGATGTCTGAGGTGGTAGGACAGATGACAAGGTCCCAGATAGAGAGCTAAGGAGAGGCAGAAGAGGTTGTTGGAGGTAGGAAGGCCAAGTTGTTGAGACCTGGCCATGGCACTACCTGCCTGAGGTCCCCTGAATTGTGTGACCCCAAAGCCTGGAGTGAAGGATGGCCCAGAATTGAGTGTGGGGACAGAGGAGAAAGCTGCCCATCCCCTCCAGACTTGCCCAAGACTCAGGGACCTGTGGGAGGGTTGTGCTTGGGGCAATGTGGAACAGGAAGGTGGTGGGAGGATGGTAGGAGAAGGCCACAGAGGGGCTTGTGGGCCTGGGAACCAGCAGGCAGGCATGCCTACCTTGGCCTATGCCCACCCCCAGCTAACCAGAGGCGTGCTGTATAGCGGTTTCTCTCCTCAGTGGAAGCCAGGCCCCCTGTTTCCAGCCCCAAACCCTGATCCAGTCCCCACTCCTGAGACCCAGGCCAGTCTTGCTTTGGGTCTCACTGCCCTCTTCAGGTCCCAAAAGTCGACAAGAAGATTCTTCTCCATCATGCTCCACGATGGGGGCTGGCAGGGGTAGCAGTGTGGAGGAAGGAGTGGCCAGCTTACCCAAAACTCTGGAGGCGCTCTCTCTGTTCTGGCTGGGGCTGAGGAATGGCCCTAGGGGGTCTTCCCCTGATGGGCACAGGAAAGAGGCCTAATGGGGCCAGAGCAGCTTGGGCCTCTCCAGAATTGGGGTACAAGAGGGCAGAGACCACGCAGACCAGAGGACTGGCCACCACTCTTCATACCAGAAGCCATAACCAACCCAGCCCGGGATCCCCCAGGCCTGGAGCCCATGGGTTCCAAAGCTGCAGCACAGCATAGGAAGTGAGGCCCCAGTGATGCCCTCTCCTGGCCTAGGGGTTTCCCATCCACTCTCTGACACTAGCCTTCCCCATATGAAGATGTGCACTGGAAATACTGTCTAGCCACAGCCACCGGTAGCAGGAGTGGGGAGAAGTTAGAGGAGACAGGCTGGGACTCTGGTGGCTCTCCAGTCTACAGGCCTCCATTCGCCTGTGAGCCCTTCCCGCGGGCCCTGAACAGCAGGGGCACTGCAGCCCAACCCTGGGGTACTAGAGACTTGGGCCCCCATTGGGCCTCCCACCACCCTCCTCTGCTAGCAGCCCAGCAGGGAGCCAGAACCACAGGCAGGCCCACCTCTAGGGTGGCAGAGCTGGCTGCCAGGGCTGCCTCTTGCTGGCACTTTGTGTAGGGGGCAGGGACAGAAAGTTCTTGTACAACCAAGAGTTTGTCTGCCATGATCAAGGGAGCAGAAGGTTGGGTGGCAGTGGGCTAGATCGGATGGTGTGGTCCCATGGGCAGTGGCCCTGCCTCCTTGGTTTCTTTCCCATAGGTCATACCCATCCCCTCCACACTCATCCCCCATCCCTGTCCCTTACCCCTCCCTCCAGCTCACCACTGGCCCATTGCTCTGTCTGTCTTTATTGATTTGGGAAAAACTGGAGGGGAGCTGGAGGGGAGCTGAAGGGCCACGACACAAGCGGGACCACCCACAGTCAGCAAAGCGCAGAACAGCATGCAGGAAGGACAGCCCCTGGTGCCTCTTCAGCTTCTAGAGGGGTTGTGCAGTGACAGCAGAAGGGAGCCCCCGTGGACATGCCCCACCAGCCCCTAGGCAAGGGCAGAGCCTGGGGGGTGCTCCACTCCTACTTCGGTACCATGTGCCACACACACACACACACACACACACACACACATCTCAAACTCTCCAGCAGAGGCCAGCTCCAAGGGTATGGGAATGGGGGAGAGGACTGAGAGGGTCCATGGGAAGAGAATCAGGGGTCAGTGCACTCAGCCTCGGCATCTGCCAGGGGTGGAGGGAGAGAGAAGCGCACAGGGAAGGGGAACAGTCAGGAGGCACCCCTGGCCTGCCCTGTGCCCGAGCTCCCAAAGCTCTCAGCTGTGGAGCCCACTGGGTCTTGGTACTGGGCCCCTCTCAGATTCTCATGGTCCCCGCAGTCCCCACTCTCATCTATTCCTCCTAGAACCCTGGATCCTCCCTTCCATCTGTGCTTTCTGCCCTCAGCCCTTTTCTTTCTGGGGTTCACCTAGCCTTTGGCCACATGGGGCCCAACACCCCCTAAGCTCACCAAGGAACCACCTCCCAGGGGATGCAGGGCCCACCCCCACACACCTGGTCATCACCAGCTAGGGGGCTGACCAGCCCGGAGGCCCGGGTGGCTGTGGCGGGCCATCCTCCGCTCTGAGGCCTCTTCACCCTCTGAGCTCTGCCCCAGCTTTCGGATGTGACGAAGGAAAGAGGTGGCATTGAATGCTCGCTGCAGGGAGAGAAGGGTATCAGGCTATGCCCCAGCCCTGGCCCCAAGACTTCAAGGATCACAGAGGCCACTGGCAGCCCAGGCCATCCCCCTCAGGCTAAGGAATGGAGTTGGTGGGGAAGGGAGGCAGCCTGGAGCGAAAAAATGTCCACAGGCCTGGCCCATACTGACCTTCCAGTGGGTCCGGGCAAAATTCTTCTGGATCTGTTCACTGACTGAGCCCAAGATGTCTTTGTCAAAAGCAGCATCCCCAGAGATCCTAGCAGGAGACCAAGGGTCAGTGGGAGGGGGGTATCTCTAAGGGTGTTGGTCCTTTCCTCTGGTCCTGGGACAGCTGGGCAGGGGTTCCACTCACCAAAGATGCTGTAAGGCCTGCTGGCAGGTGAACCTCTTCTGGGGGTCTCGTTCCAGAAGGTGCCGGATGAAGTCTTTGGCTGGAACAGGGAGGCCAGGTCAGCCCAACCTGTTCCCATTCCCCTTATCACTCCCCCCTCCCCTCTCTGAGCTTGGGGCCAGCCTCAAGTTCACCTGATTCTGAGATGTCATCCCAAAAGGGAGAGTCAAACTCGTAGCTGGCCCTCAGGATCTGGCTGAAGAGTTCGGGGTCGCTCTCATCGTAGAAGGGAGGGTACCCACATAGCCTGGCACCCACAGATGAATCACCCAGCTGTCCAACCCTCCCCAACCCAGCAGGAGGCAGGCAGGCAGAAGAAGAGCCTTCCCAGTGGTCACTCACAGGATGTAAGAGATGACACCCAGGGCCCACACATCTACGGCCTTCCCGTAGGGTTTCTGCTCCAAGAGCTCCGGGGCTGGGGGCCAGAGACAGACAGACAGACAGACACACACCCGTGCACGCACACACCAGCCTTCAGTGCTGTCTATCTCAGCCTAGTCAACCCCAGGAATGGCCCACCACCCGCCCTGCCCCTGGCACCAGAGTCCCCACAGGGTTCCCCGGCCCCCTGGCCCCCAATGAGCCTCAAGGTGCCCCCTCACATACCCACATATCCTGGGGTACCACAGGCAGTACCCAACATGTTGCCAGCCTGAATTTTGGAGAGGCCGAAGTCGGAGACCATGATCTTGGAGTCCTCGAATGGCGTGGCATAGAGGAGGTTTTCAGGCTATGAAACACAGGTGGCCAGAAAAAATGCCAAGTCAGCCTTGGCATGGTCTCCAGGGCTGGGACAAGGGGCTGGGTCCTCTCAAGTCCCCCAGACCCTTGGTGCACAGGGAGGCTGGGTAAGGCCTGGGCAGGTGGGCAAGAGGGCAGGCACCTTGAGATCACGGTGCACAATGCCCAAGCTGTGCAGGTAGGAGACAGCTCCAAGAACCTGGCCCACCAGGTGGCTGGCATCCTTCTCTGTGTAGGAGCCACGCTCCATGATGCGGTCGAACAGCTCACCCCCTGTGACCCTGTGAGGAGCAGGTGCTCATTTGACCCACGCCTCTCGGCCCCCATTCACCACCCAGCCCCAGCCTACCCCTGCTCTCCTCACAGCTCCATGGCCAAGTAGAGGTGGGAGGGGCTCTCGTGGACATCCTCCAAAGCCACGATGTTGGGGTGGCTGACCCTGTAACGGCAAGAAAAAAGCCCTTGTAGGCCACTGCAGCAACCCTCTGGGCCTCAAGGCCTAGGAGCACTTCCTTCCACCTCTGTCCCCTTCCCTACCACGGGCCATCCCTGCCCAATCCAGCAAGGCAGAACCCCATGCCAGGCCTTCCTGGGGACACAGAGGAGGCAGGACACTGCTCCACAGGCCTTAGGCAATAGCAGCTTGGCCAGGGCCAGGCACGCACCTGCGGAGCACTGCAATCTCGTTCTCTACTAGGGCCTCCTTGCCCCGAAGGGCCTTCTTGGAGATGCACTTGAGGGCAACAAGGTGTGAGGAGCCCCGCTCCTGAGCCAGCACCACCTCAGAGAAGGCACCCCTGCAACAGAGACAGTGGAGGCAGGAAGGGAGGGGGAAAGGTAAAGAGGAGGATGAGATGAGGGGGAGGGTAGAGAGAGCAGAGGTGGGGAGAGGGAAGGGCCCCCCCCCAGCTGAAGCAGAAGAGGAGGCCCTCTCCATCACAAGCCGACGTCCCCCCCACACACACACACATTCACCAACACACATTCATTGCCACACATGCACACACATCACATTTCACTGACACACACTCACGAGCCCAGCTTCTCCCGGATCTCATAGATGCTGCTGATGTCCTCCGTCTGTTTCTTGAGCAGCAGCATGTCTGGGGGGCAAGGGAGAGTTGGAGGGAGATGCCCTGGGTGAGGAGCAACCCCGTCTCCCACCCCAGGCCCAGCAGTTCTTCACCCACCCTCAGCGACAGCCTCACTCAGGAACACACGTCCGGTAAGGTTCCATACACCCTCCCCCAGCCCGGATACATCTCGCCCCT